TTTTGAAATTTTTTCTTCCGGAAAAGTACCATAGAAGATTCTATAACCACTAACTAATTTTTCAAAAATCATTTGAATCATCTTCAATCTCCACAAAATCAGATAAAAAATTCTGAAATTATGGTTTTAGACCTGCAATTGTGATCGCGCCAAATTTTTTTTCTGTAGATCAAAAATTAATTTGCAGTTCGGAAATGTTTTGTGAGAGACCGTGTACCGTTCAATAAAATATACGGAAATATATGTCTCAGTTGGTTTTTGATAATTCTGACCATTCATGAGTATGAAGCTTGGCTCACTAGTTTCCGATCACTTTGAAGACTCAAATTGAAAACTTTGCATTTATTAATTTTTTTTTAAGTCCAAGTTTTTTAGATATTTACCGATTTCTAAGAGACACTGCTTTTTTCATATGTTCGTCACCAAACGGGCCAAGCAGAAGTCTCTCGGAATGCAAAATTTTTAATTTAGTTCTACTTTAGACCCCTCAAAAATTTCAAAGTGATCCGAAACTTGACAGCCAAGCTTCACACTCCTAAAAATAGTAAAATTGGGGGAAAATTAACTGAAAAATACGTTTTTGCATGTTTTATTGACTAGTACTGTATCTCAATTCCTGTGCAATGAATTAATGATGTGTTAACTGAAAAAATTTATCAATTTATCAGGTGACAACATTGTTTGAATCAATGTTAAAAGTGTGATAGTCTTCTCATTTCTCCAAATTTCCTAAAAATGCAACTTTCCGTTTTGCGACTACCTTTTTTGCAGTTTTGATTGTTTTTTTCGAAATTCAAGAAAATTACAGAAAGATGGAAAAGAATGACCTCAATTCATTAAACAAACCATCTATTTTTTATCAATATTTTTTTGACAACATGAATTCAAATTTCATGTTTACCCACCAATAATTTCACACCAATTATGTAAAGCACACAATAGAATTTGGTAGCTCAATAACTGGAATTCCACGCAGAGTAATAGGCTACAAGGCATAAGAGAATTCATAATATCGGAAAACCAGAAAATATAAGGCAGAATGGAGGTCCTTTTATGAGAACTCCGGTGGGTCATTACTTCCCATAGACCTTGTTTTTATTACTCAACTAGAGAAAAGGTGAAGAAGAGAAAGAGATTCAAAGCAAGATATTTAATTGTCAGAGGAGAATATTACAGTAATCCCCCCTGAAACATTTCTGACTTACAGTTTCTTGACAACGGTAGGTATTTGGTGGTTCGCAATGCCGGTCGATACGATGATCGATGAAGAGGATTCATTGGTGATTGTTTGCGATTGTTTGCGGACAAATTAAAAAGTGGCAAAGTTTAGAGAATGGGTTACTTGCGGACATATGGTTGCAATAAAGGATGCCGACTTGAACATTGTGGACACAAGATTTACGACCATCGTGGCTTGTTGCATCGAGAGGGATCACCACAAATCAGAAGATATTGTATGAACAAAAATTGGCTGGTCTCATTAGTAAGGACAGGAGGAATATATGAATTTTTATGTAAGATCCCAATGCTATTTCGCACAATTCAAACCGTCAGCTTTCAGTCCATATGACTCGTTTTGTATAAGCGATATCAAAAAGTGGTCAACAGGCAAACTTTCATCATAATAAGAATTTAGTTTGGATAGTTGAACACTTTTATATAAATCTTACAGTAATCGAGATAAATTAAGCCAATGTTAACAATCCCTTCTTTCACATTTTTTTCGGCACATAATTCATGTGATACAACGATTTGGGGGTATAGGGTGAGGGTGCCAAATGATGTTGGGATATCACCGAAGCCCTTTAAAGTGCTCTGTACCACGAAGACCCCAAAATTCTTTTTTTCGAATCATTTTCCTTTTTCCGGTTTCTTTTTCCGTCTCCGACTTTTAGAAAACTTTGAATCATCGAAAATTTTACCACTTTCTCAATTTATATTCCTTATTTTTTTAGTAAATTGTTTCAAAATTGTTGTTGTCGCTGTTATCGAACATTTTTTCTCTTCTTATCACCTTCGAAAGTCTTTTTTTTTCCTCATTCCTTTTTTTTTCAGTGTGTTTTCCATTTCTGACTAAAACGAATCGGCCCTCTCTGCTGGTTTGCGTGTTTTAATCTGAATTCAGTTGCTCCTTTTTCAAATTCAAAGTTTTGTTCTTCTTCTCCTATCTCTCCTTCTCACAACAGAAACGTCTCCTTTTACTCAAGCCAAACTAACTCAATTTGGGATGTTTCCCGGGGCGAGGAGAAGGCCTGGGTCCGATTTCGAAATGTTTTCTCAACACTTTTTCGGTCAATTCACTATCTATTTTTGATGAAAATACAAGTTAGGAGTTGATAAAAAGATGGCAGACGTTATTTTTCAAAAGTTTGTTTCGAACCATTTTAAAATTGACCATTTCTATCTTAAAAGCAAATATCATACTAACTTCGATTGTGATACGGTTTTCATTTGAAAATTATGAGTGGATGTGCAAAAACATGACAGTAATAAATAATCGGAACTTTGTCTGCAATTTTGCAAATAAAGTACAAAGGGAGGTACGACAAATTGGAACGTTTTCAAAATCGAACAAACCTAGAGTCGAACTGTCCCAAATTGAAATGCTGTTAGCCGCCAAGCGCGCTTGCATTATTTTTCTTTTATCATTGTTTTATTTAGCAAATTTTGAATTTGATCGGGAATTTGAAATTTAATTTGGGGCAGTTCGATGGTGCACAGTTCGAATTGGAGCAGTTCGATTCAGTCCTTGTTCTGTTTTGATACCTGTTCGGAAAATACACTGTTCTTTTGAATAAGTTCGATTTTTTTTTTATTTGAATCAGTTCGATTTTACAATTTGTTAGATCTGTTCGATTTTGAAAATGTTCGAGTTCGTCGTACCCCCGTACAAAGTCATAACTATAATATCTTTCTCGTTCAAACTGGTTTATCTCAACATTCGAATTTTTCATGTTATTTTCTTTACCGTATCAACCACAGTATCTTCCCAATATTCATTGTTCTCCTAGAACAAGCAAAAATCGTGCGGATGTGCAAAACGATAGAACAAACACTAACCAAAAATACGGTTTTTTTCTTTTGCTCTGTTGTGTACCTCCTATATTTGCTTCCGACCTCCCATCTCCGTTCCTCAGCTTTTTCATTCTACTGACCATCACCGGCGTACTGGATTAACTCCTGAATCAAATTTCCCTGCTTTTTTAGTCTTCTTCTGACTCCTGGTCAGTTTTATACCCCCCCCCCCCCCCAAATTGTTTTTCTATTTCCGTTTCGTCCGAAATGCCAAAGCTTCTCGTTCCTTCCAACTTTTATGGCTTGATGTTTTTGTTTACGGGGGGCCCCATTTCGGAAGATGAGAAGCCTTGTGGTTCTCGGTTTTCAAAATGCATTAAAACTTTCGGGAAGGCTAGGTGAAATTGTTCTGATTGTTGTTTCGTTT